AATACATATTTAAATCCTCGCCACTGCATTATAAGTTCCATAATTGTTCTTTGTAGATGCGGCCCTATGTGTTGAATGTCGTTCAAGCTTTTTCCGTTTGAAGTTTTTGCCGAGGCGTCGAAAACTACTCGTAGTTTCGTCGTAACGCTTTCTTCCCGTATTACGGGTTGGTGTGGCAAGTAATATTTACCTTCCTTATTGCTTTCTGCTTCTACCATGTGTCCTCTCTTAATATAGTCATCCATAAATTCTACATATTGTTTGCGCTGTTTTTTGTTTGTGGCTAATCGTTTCTCTAAGTTCATCATTCGAGCTATTGCTTTTTTCCTTGAATCTCCTAATACCTCCCCCTCTATAAAAGGCATCTTCACTATAAATCTTCCCTTGTCATCCCTTCTAGTTGTTTTCTCAAAAAGGCACATGCATTTTTCATCATTGGTTACTACTGTGTCTTCAGAAACCTCTTCTAACTCCCAAAACCTTTCCAAATTAACCGCTACTGTGGCTTTTACTTGTCCTGCTCTTGGAATTTTTATTGGTCCTGATAGTATCCAACCTAGTTCGGTTTTTTGTCCTATCAGGGACCCTTCCTGTTTTAGTCCTTGGGAAAGTATTTTCGGTAATAGGTCGCTACCTATTAACAGGTCGATTCTGCTTTTCTTGTTAAATAGAGGGTCGGCTACAATTTCATTATTCCAATGAGCTAAGTTATACTCAAAGCTTGTGCGAGGCTGAGGATTTAAAAGTTTCGGCATAATTAAAGCTTCTGTGGTATATCTGGCTTCGCTAGGGAATCTGGGCCTTATTTGGATTTCTAATGCTGATTTGGCGGTTCCTATTAGGTTGTCACCAATCCCAAACAACTGTATCCTCTTCCTTACTCTAGGGAGACGAAGTCCTTGAGCTGCTTCTTCAGACACAAATGTCGATTGTGATCCTTGGTCTATAACTGCTCTTAAAATTATCCAATCTCCTGTTGCGGACTTTACCTCTACTAATGCTGTCGCCAGCAGGGTTGTTTCTAATGACTTTGTTGTTAAGGTTTCTTTTTTCTCCAGTACTTGGTGTAATAGGGTGTGGTGTCTGCCATTACATTTGATACAGGGTTTCTTTGGTTCGGGACATATCTTGAAAAGGTCGTGGTCGAGGCATTTAAAACATAGCTTATAATCTTTTGCGGTTTTCCATTTGTCTTCAACTAGCAAGCCCAAAAATTTTCTACACTCTTTTATTTGGTGACCACTAAATTTGCAATGTACGCATTTCTCTATTTGTGTTCTTTGCTGATATTTAAAAGACACCTTTTGGGTAGGATTCAATGTTTTTATCGCTTGTAAGTGCTGTTCTAAAAATGCATATACATCATCTAATGATTGTATTTCTTTTGTTTTCCTTGTGAATTGCTCATATTGTTGTAGCCCTATTCTATCAAATTTCCTCAACAGGATTCTCGCAATAAATATTCCGTCATTCAAGGCGATCCCCATTCCCTCTATTGCATGAGCGCATTGTCTGGTTGTGTCCAAGAACAACTGTACACTTCTGTCGGATTCACTATTCATCATGGGTTGGTCCATGATTTTATCTAATTGGTACGAGAATAGTTGCCGTCTGTTTTCATATCTATCTTGCAATATTTCTACTGCTTTCTCATAATTTTCTACTGAGACTGGGAGGTGCTGAATTAAGCATTGCGCCTCACCCCTTATCAACTCTTTTAGTCTTAAAAACTTTTCTATTTTTGTATACTTGAAATTATTATGTATCAAATTGCTAAATAGGTCATAAAACGTTGACCATTGTTCTAAACGACCATCAAATGGATGGATTTCGATTTCCCTCATTTTTATGTGATCGTTAGTCGTTTTGTTCCTATTGATATTTTGAATTTCCTTAAAATATAGTTCTTTTATTTGTTCAAATTTATCCTGTATTTTTCTTCTTTCTGTCCTATTTTCTGCTGGGATTTTGTCCTTAAGCTCTTTATGGACTTCGGTAAAATATGAAAATTCCGCTGTTAAAAATCTTTTATGTTCTTCTGCTTCCATCTCTTCGAACATACTATGCCTTTTCTCAAAGGTGTCTGCGGCTCTATAAAAGATTCTCTTGTCCTCATCCCAAAGGTTGTACACATGCTTGGGAGATTCACTAAATTGCACTGAGATATCGGCTTCCGCATCTGAAGGTTTCGGCTCGATTTGTTTACCGTTCCCCTGTCTGTTTATTCTATCTGTAAAATGGCTTCGTGCTATTTTAATTCTAGCATACGCATCGGATGAGAAATAATTATTCTCTGCGAGCGTATCCTTATACTGAGTCAGTAAGCTATGGTTATTGTTAAATTCCGCCCATAGCTCCTAGATTTTCTTTAATTTTTCTGGCTGACCATCATTTGAATTTAACAGGTCGTTCAATTTATTAAAATTCGCCTCTTGTTTAAGAAGGGCTTCATTTAGTTTTTCCCTCGTATAGACCATTTTTGATGACAAAAATTTCAACATGTAAATTTTAATTATTTATTTTGTTTTTTTTTTTTTTAAATTTTTTATCTTAAGTTTAATATTTTCGGACTCTTTTAAATAACTATTCTGTTCTTTCCCTTTAGTAATTAAAACTAGTTGGAAAGTTTCTTTTAATTTCTTTCTCAACTGCACCCTTTTGCCACCACGTTTTTTCTTTTTTGGTGGTTTTGGAGGCTCAATTATTTTTTTGTTCTTGTTTCTGTTTTTGTATTCTTGTATTGTTAGTTTCTGTGGCCCCGCGTTGGGTTCAGCAGCTGCTTCTAAAAAGGGCTTTGCTATTTTTATAATATTATTAAATGCCCTATTAAACTCTTCCATTAATCTTAGTAATATTAGTAAAAGTAATAGTTGCACAGTGGCTTGAAGTGTGGGGCGGCTTCCTTATGGTCTTCAGCTGCGCCTTCTTCCAATTTTGCGTTGTAGCACCTGGACTTGGGCTGCTCAAATCGACACTCAGACCTGGCTTCTGGTCTGAGTTCGTGAGTCGTTAACTGGACTCGGGTTCTGGACTCGAGTTTACTCGATTTGTTGTAGAGTGAGTGTCAGACCTGGCTGGTCCTGAACTCGGGTTACTTCTGACTGAGTGTCAGACCTGGCTGGTCCTGAACTCGCGTTTCTTCTTACTGAGTGTCAGACCTGGCTGGTCCTGAACTCGGGCTTCTTCTGACTGAGTGTCAGACCTGGCTGGTCCTGAACTCGGGTTTTTTCTGACTGAGTGTCAGACCTGGCTGGTCCTGAACTCGGGTTTTTTCTGACTGAGTGTCAGACCTGGCTGGTCCTGAACTCGGGTTTTTTCTGACTGAGTGTCAGACCTGGCTGGTCCTGAACTCGGGTTTTTTCTGACTGAGTGTCAGACCTGGCTGGTCCTGAACTCGGGTTTCTTCTGACTGAGTGTCAGACCTGGCTGGTCCTGAACTCGGGTTTTTTTTGTTTTCAATTTTTCCTATTCATTAAGCTGTTCTAGCTTAATGTCACGCTAGCAACTGTTATATTGCCTGCTGATAAGGCTGCCCGCGTTTTCACGCTGATTCACCTTGTTCAAAAAGGTTTCAAATAAGTCGAAGGACCAAATGATGCATAGTCTATACGCATCAAGTGAAGATCACCTAGAGCAAGATCACTCGCTCCGCCAGAAGGCTTAGAAATAAACACACGCTTGAATTTCCAAAGATGATCTCAATTTATTTTCGGCAAATGCCGGGTTTTTATACAATTTTCACTTACGATCTACATTAAAATTAGGTTCTACAATTGTCTTATCAGCTATTGCTTATTCATTCTTAATATAATGCTATCTTTTACAAGTATTTATCAATGCTATGTGTGCATATGCGCACCCTTCTTATCGTCTAGTTGTCCTGCTGCTATTGGTCGACCTCTATTTCCCCTTTTCCTCACTATCTAGTCGTTGAGCGTCCTATATCTACATGCGACTGTGACATTAGTTGAGGCTACCTGCAGTGCGCATGTGTGCGTGCGGCCCAAAACGTTGTATGTTTGTTCCTTCGTATTTTAAGTGGACTGTATATTTTTAGATTATTTATGACTGCCACATGTGCGCGCAGGCTTGGTCTAATTTCCTTGGGATTGAGTCTCACTATCAGATCATATTTTTGAGTGTGGCAACAGTACTATTCATAAAACTATGTTCACTAGTGAACAGTGGGAATGAAAAAGCTTACGACTTTGAAATACTCTGTACCTATGTGTGAAATCATCATTTTTAAAAACCAAACATGGCTAAATCGGTTATCTTTATACATTTCATGTGCAGGGTATAAAATCAATGTTAACATTATTGTACACGCTGTAGCCGAATGGTAACAAGAGAGAACGCTACAGTCGAGCAAGCCCGACAGTGTAATACCCTGTACCCAGGTAAACTTCCGTCACTGAGTTATATGCGCCCATAGCAGCAGCAAAAAGAGGAAGAAGAAGAGTGAGCTTGTTGCTGCAGTTTGGGGGGGTTGTACTAGAGAGAATTTGTTTTGCTAATAACTTTTCTTAGAATTGACCGAATTGAATAAAATTTTATACAACAGTTTGGTTTAGGTAGCATTTGAAATGTGGACACTATTGACGAAATTCTGTAGCGGGGGAAGGGGGGGAAAATTAAAAAAAAAAACATAAACTCGTCCTTACTCGGACCTAGGAGAATCTGGATGCCAACTTTGGTTATTCTAGCTTTTATAGTTTCTGAGATCCTCGCGTTCATCCAGACGGACGGACAGACGGACGGACAGACGGACGGACATGTCTAGATCGATTTCTCTCGTCATGCTGATCAAGAATATATATACTTTATGGGGTCGGAGATGCTTCCTTCTGTATGTTACATACTTTGCACAAACCTAATATACCCTTTTTACCCTACGGGTACAGGGTATAAAAAGAGCGTTTAATTAAATTCGTGAAATTGTCAGTAATGCATGAAATTTTCATTAAATTCCCTAAAACACATGCATATTTCTTTTTCAGAATTGCAATAATGACAATGACGGCAACAACAGCAGCAGCAGCAGCAGCAACTATAACTATGGTCATGTGCCTAAATATAGCAACAACAACAACAACAACAATAACTATGGGCACCACAATTATAAAAACAATAACAACAACAGGCGAGTGCATGCTGCAAACAAAAGCAAGCAAACTCATTATCAGCATACACAACGGCAAACCAACCGCGTGAATAATGGTGTGCCAGACAACGAGGAGGAGAATGAGGAGGAAATTAACAGCGACATTTACGGTAACAACAGCAACAGCAACAATAACAATAACAACAACAAGAACAACAACAACAATGATAATGATGACGACCAGAAGGAGAACGACTCGTCGTCCGCAGAGCAACAGCCCGACATAATACCCTATCCGTTGAGTGTGGGTGAAACAAGCTGGAAAACCGCAAAACTACGACGACAGCAACAACAAGAACAACAGCACAAACCGCATTGGCAACGCACATAGCGTCGTTTGCGGCCACACCCACAAAAACCTTAAAATGGAGGCGTAAGTGCCGGCGTTGTGAGCACCGGGAGACATCGCTCCCGCATAAGATTTTGAACAAAATTTGGGCATAGAGTGTAAGCATTTGTACAGCGTAGTGATATATAGGGCAAGCGATGAGGCGTACATACTCGTACTCATATATGAGTATGTATGCGTATATAGTATGTGTAGAGCAGGAAGGGCAACTGCATAAAAGTAAGTTTGTAAAAATGATGATATCTAATATAATATCTTTACATTATACAAGTATATATGGAGTTCGCATAGAAATCGGCGGGTGCAATTGCAAGGTAATACGTAGGACTTGAACATATCGAGCATTAAGTAAATTGATGTGAAATTGTATGTGGTAGCTGTACTTACAAACATACACAAATTATATATTTAGTAATTGATCAGGATAATAATAACAGAAAAGTGCGCAAGAATTCAAAAACTTAGATAACCGAAATAGTTCCAACTATCTTAGACGATATTTTTATGCTTTCGCACACTCACTGGTGGGGAAAAAAGCAATTAGGAAATGTGTTTGAAAAATGTGCATTTTCATATAAAGCTGCATTTTCAAAACCTTTCATTTCAATTCAAAATGTTGTGAAATATATGTAATTTATTCGCAAACGTAATATTACTTATAGGCAAGTTATTATAGTATGATATTTTTGATCCTGTTTAGTTTTTAAACAATTTTTAGTTGATAGATAATTTGTGAGCATCAACTCAAAATATTCCATAAATATCAAAAATAACTTTTTCAATTGAGTAATAGAAAGGTCAGTCAAATACATATATACTCGTATAGTACATATACGAATCAAGAGTAGAACTTAAAGAACAGAGTTCAAAAATGTATAGCATTTGAGTGCAGTTTGAGTTAAGCTCTTAGAGGATTTACTACCCTATAATTTTCTAAGCTTTTGGTGATATTCTAAACACAAATAGAAATTTAAATTTCTAAACATATTTGTAAAGATACAAATATTATATTATTATTATGTGTCATTTATTTTATTACTTAATAGTAAACATTTAAAGTTGTTTTAAACATTGTCCAACATTTTTTAGCAAATCAAAAATGTTTTATTTCCTCTGTCCTTAAATACTCGTCTGCCGTTCATTTTATTACTGTTTGTGGAGTTATAAATTTATTAAATTAATATTAGTATGCGATTAAAATCGAATCTGCAGTTTTGAATATGTTCATGCATTTTTTTCAAAGACATTACCTACAAAATATTTTTTAAACCGGCTATGAGTTACAAATATTTGCATAACTGCCGACAAACAAAAAAGCAAAAAATTAAAGTAAAAATAAAATTTGCAAAAAAAATAAGAAGAAATGATAAAAACCACCAGCAGCTTATAAGTGAAAAGATGTTTAATAATGTTACGTAAAATCAGCTTTTGATTTTAACAAATACACACATATAGTATATACTTAAAGTATATACATGGCTTGCTTAAGAAGAGCGCATCTTGATCTAAATTGTCGTTACTGTTCATAGGTAGGATGATAATGCCTAGTTTTGCTGCAGCAACAAAATTGTGCGTGTTTTAAAATACTTATAACTGTGCTATGTGTACTCAATTATATGTATTCACATACATCCGTACATAGGAGTATGTATATCTTGTACATGTTTTATGTAAAACTAAGACTCTGCTTGGAACATATTTACAACCATACATACTTATAATATTAAATGTGTAAGTTTAGGTGCGTGCTGATAATTATCAAATAAGCTTATGCCGAGAAGGGCGAGTAAATCTTAAACAGTGTCTAGCATATCTCTCTTTTTCAGTTACTAACTAAACATATCCCCCACAGAATGCATTTCCTACTAAGTATGTACCACTCTTTAATTATGATGAACAAATTTGTTGCTTTCGAAATATTCGCAGAAGATACGAAATAAAAACCATTCGAAGCTTATGTAAGACCCATATCAATTTTTAATATTGTAATTTTCAAGAAGTAAACTCTAGTGCTAAGCCCGCAATGTGTGCAATGTGAGGAACCCCTCTATAGAAATAAAAGCAAACACATTTTAATGAAAAATATATCACTGCATTTATTTCTTCAAGCTTTTGTCTTCTCGCGGCTCTAGTTGGCCCTTGGTCTTGATTACTTCATTAATCCATTTGATCCACTGTTTGTGCCATTTTTGTATGCCTATCACCTTTTCTGGCGTTGTTAGGGCACTGTATTTGATCGAGTTTATTGCCAGGCACTTGAGAAACCTTAAATCTGCTCGCATAGGTGCAATCCCCAAAAAGGCAAAGTAAAAGTCATGTGACAAGGGCAAGGCATGCCAGAAGGACGGATCGTCTGAAGATATGACCATCGGCACATCTTGACAGATAATGTGAGATGCCGGATGATTGCGATAATCTTGACCTAGCTGCAGCACTTGATTGGACACAGGGCACACTTCTACGGCGATGCCAAGCTTCTTCGCTAATGACATAATAAATGGATGCTTAATGATGGCATATCCGTGGCCAATGCGCTTTGTGCCCAACAGCACAGCATCAATCAGATTTTCATCAACAGTCGATCCATACCAATTGGTTTCGCCGGCATGAAAATAAAAATTTATATGCTCCGGCATTTTCAAAAGTTGGTCAACGAAGTCAATAAGGGGGCGTCCCAGTTCTTCCTGCCCGACCAAATCGAAGCCGACCAAAAATGTGGGAAACTGTTTCTGCAGATGGTAAGATGAATTCTAAATTAGCAGTTGATGTGTAAAGAAAATATTCTATATATTGTTTTGTTAATTTACACATTTATCAACATCAATATTCATTAATTCATTGTGGATTCTCGATATATAATAATTTATAATTTTGAAATTTTAAAACTGTCTCTAAAGTCTCAAGCGAACTCTCTCTCTCTCTCTCTCTCTCTCTCTGATTCTATAGTTCATCTACAACTGCCTCCGAGTACAACCCTGACCAACACGACTATAAGGGGCAGAAGCTGCCGGACTGATGCTCTATAGCCATTTCTTGGTGAATCTGTGACTGCATATGGTTGTAGGTTGAGGATACCTCGACAGACCGACCCTCAGATGACCCTCTCTCTAATGTTGAAAAACAAGTAAAAAAGCTAAAGTCGGGTGTCCCGACTTTGAAATACTCTGTACATATGTTTACAATAATTATAGAAAATAAAAAAAATTAAGAAAATAAAAAAAAAAATTTGATCGATTTTACCTCTCTCGGTATTCGAACTCACGTAAAGGGTGTATAATTGCACATTTACATAGCAATTGCGTCTGTGTGAGTGTATGTATGCCTATGCGCATCAATTCGTGTCTGTGTAAGCATTTTCGCAGTCAACCAAACAGCAACATCAACAACAGCCGCGGGCAGCGCTTGAGCAGCGCTGCAGCAGCGCTGCATCAGCAAATATATTTATGGCTATAACTTCTTGTTAAATCGGTCTATCATAATGAAATTTGGCATACGGACACATAATAACTAACTGGGGGTATTTCCAAAATTTTAGTTCGAAATTCCAAGAATTACGGGAGTTACGATTTGCGGGGTAGAGGGGGGAGGGAGGGGAATTCCAAAATATACATTTTCTGCGTATTCACATAAGGCATCTGGGACTAAAATTTGGTGTTCCTAGGTCTTATAGTCTCCGAGATATAGGCGATTATACGAATGGAAAATCGGGAAAACCCCCATAGGGGGGAAGTGGGGGGGAAAATCAAAAAAATAAAACAAACTCGTATAGAATACACACATAACGCATCTTTGTGCAAAATTTGGTGTCTCTATCTCTTATAGTCTCTGAGATCCAGGTGTTCATACGGACGGACAGACGGACAGACAGACAGACAGGGCTAGATCGACTCGTCTCGTCATGCTGATCAAGAATATATATACTTTGTGGGGTCTGCCACGCCTCCTTCTGCCTGTTACATTTTTCAGCTCCCGCAAACCTAATATACTCTTGTACATTTCATGTACAGAGTATAATCATACTTGCCCCTAAATTAAATCGTTGCTTCGGCCCCTTTTTCTGGCTATTCGTAATAAAAGTTCACTTCTTTCATAGGTACATGTTCTTCGGTGCTCAAGTTTTTATAATAATATAGTAAGTCTGCTGATTAGGCTGCACCTTTGAAAATTATAAATCTTTTTTATGGTAACAAAAAAATGGTTGAAAACGGCAGTCTGTCGAATTCTAATAGGAAAAACTACAACTATAAACTTTCAAAATAAATATGTATAAAGAAAACAGAACTATTACTAAAAGCACACTGATAAAAAAATGCAACGAAATTTAAATATTTACACGTAGATTTAACTATTTTTACCATCGATTTTTCACTACAGTGTGTTTTAGTAAATATGAAGTGTGCACACTTAATTTTTTAATTTAATATATTCGTAGTAAATTTGAAGTGCTGGACTATTTAATCTAAAGTGTTGACATATTCAAATTAAAATGTAAACATATTAATTATGAATACTGTCATATTCAAATATTTACTATTTTCATATTTAATTTTAGATGTGAACATATTAAAATCCAAATGTGAACATATTAAGATCCAAATGTTAAAATAGTAATTATGAATATGATTCATATTCAATATTAACTATTTTCATTTTAGATTTTAATATTTTTAATATTTGATTCAAAGTGTTCCCATAGTCAAATTAAACAATTTCATATTAAGAATAAATTATCGATTTATTTACTATCGATAATCGAATTTTTATTTTAATTCAAACTCAATTAATTTTTAGAGTACATGATAATAATAGTAATAACAATAATAGAATTTAAATAGATCTATATTTTACATAGCTTTTACCGTTGTTATTCAAATATACATGCAATGGGTGGCTTGTAAAATATTCTATATCCTTAATAATTAATGTTCGATCTTTGTGGCCAACTTCATAAGCTTGCATATGTTTACAAAATCGTTCAACTTTTATTTCATTACAAGCAGCGTAGATTTGAGCTTCTTCATAAAAAAAGAAAAGCAACTTAAACAATTTGATATTATTTTCGTTATTCCCTAAATAATAGTTTTTTTTATACAAAACTCCTTTAAATTCTAAATTTTCACAATATTTTAAGTGATTGGACTTAAACAATTTTGAATAGCATACATTTTCCAAACATTGTATGTCTGTTATAGATTTGTCTGTAAAGCTATACTTATCAAATAATGGTGGAATACCTGACTCATAACTTAGCAAGATGAAAAATGAAGGCACTGTTTTATAGCTACCGATCGACATTCATTTTTTCTCGATGTAATTGAAGCTAAATATGCTTTAGATGCTCTATGTTTTGCCTCAAACCGCATAACCCATGCATATTTCAAAGGCCCGCATTTTAAAATAGCTGTAGGGTAATGCACGAGAAAATGGTGTTTAGGTTTTAGCGTAGGTCCATACAAATTCACATATAGCTCATGGTGCACTTTTATTTTTGTTTCTAAGTTTTTTAAATCTTTTGTTGTAAATTTATTTTGAAACAGAATGTCAATAATTTCCAAAAGTTTTGTAAATAAAATCCAATGCTGAATACTTTCTGGAATCAGATCTCCGATTATTAAAGGCAAAAACTTAGCGAAACAAAATTTTTCACTAGCTGTCATTCTAAGTTCATTTTTCTTAAGTTTAGTTAATTCTAGCGGTCGTGACGAGTTCTTTATTTCTATTTCGCCATAAGAAAACAGATTTTTTCTACTGTTAATTGTTGATAAACATACAATTTTTTCATTAATTAAAGCGTTTAAGGTTTGACAAATACCGTAAACACATACGCCTTCTAAAACATCATGCATCAAATCAAAATAAAAGTTTTCTGTTACGTGGAAGTTTTTTAGTTCGTTGAATATACAAACAGTTTTAATACCAGTCTCTAAAAAATTATTTGCTTCCAAATCATTTTCATAACAATTTTTATCTCTTAAATACTCTTTGTGCTCTTCACTGTCTGATTTCATTTCTAAGCTACTTCTTTTACACACTCGACAAAATCGCTTAGCCTTAAATGATTGAACAAAACCAAATATAGAATTCAATCCTAAGTTATCTCCTAAAATAAGGCCTAAAACAAAATATATTTGTTTTGATCCTTCAGGTATTTGTATTTCAATTCCATTTTCTAATTCTTCAAGCTCACGAAATAAGTGGTTAAAAATGATTTCATGGTCATTTCTTTTCAATGCATGTGATGGAATATATGCAAACGGGAAAATGAAATCTAATTTGGATAATAAATGCTGAGGCAAGGTTGGAAATGAATAATAGCAGCCACATATAGAAGATACATGAGCTCCTAAAGCATTGTTTATTTGAAAGTCATCAAAATACAGAAAAAATGTAATCACAATGTCATCAGGAAGAAAATTCTGCAGTTTGTTTGCAAATGTTTCAGAATTTACAAAGTTAATAAGGTTACCTTGATTTTGAAGTAATTTTTTATTTTGAAGTGTTAGATTCAAAACATTAGGAAGTTCAAAAAATGATTTAATTTGAAATTTTATAGGCATAATATGGATATCTATTTTATTCGGGAAAAGAGATGCATTTCCTTTTTTAAATTTAGGGCCGATTTTATTTGATACAGTAAATGACTTGGGATCTTCAAATAAATGCATTTCTTTTAAAAATTTAAAAAGCCGGTATTCCGATTTTATTTCCTCAAACGGGCTGGTTAAAAAGGAAGTAATGCATTCGAGTGCTTCTTTAGTTTCAGAATTGCATGCGCTGTAATAATTGAGAGCTTTGGAGATAGGCGAAACCAATTTAGTTATCAGGTATTGAATAGCAGTTACTTCATTTCTAGGCATGAAACATTTAGAATGCAGCCCAAGTGTTAATTGAAGACATTTTTTTTTTAGATCTGTTATATATTCCTGGATATTAAAACTGTCGTCTAAATCAAAACTATTATATTTTACTAAACAGGCTTTTTCAATTTGTATTTCATGTGAATGGAAATCCGGGTTAACCATATTTTGAGAAACAAAATCTTCATAAAAGGAGTCACCAATCGCATTTTCATGTGTCTTACATAAATGTTTTCTAAATATACAATATTTCAAAAATAATTGATTGCAATTGTTAATTTTGCATTGTAACGGGTCACAGAACCCAGGCTTTTTTAAAACATGATCATTTTGTAAATGATGGATTAATAAATCCGCAGTGTTAAATTTTTTGTTACATCGAAAGCATGGAAACATTTTTACAGCAATGTTTTATTTTCACTTTCTCATAAAACTTAATAAAGCAGTTAAGTTTGCAGACTTTACATCATAAGGCGTGTCAATTTCATAAAAGTATTTTTGTATGAATAGCCATGGAAACTTCGAAGCTATTGGATAATGCAGATTTAGGGTGTTAAAAAGTTTGAAGCAAACATCCAAACAATCAATAAATGAATCTAATTTGTATATTGTTTTATCAAAGTATACAAAGAACGACTTTATATCGTTGGAGTTCACGCCTTCCACAATGATAAAAGGTTGAAGTGTATTTGAATTACCGTAATTTTTGCAAATAAGATTGTTTACTTTACGCTCGTAGTCCCCAATTGTATCCAAACGAAGCACGAGACTTTCCTGTGAGTCCAATAAAGTTACCCGTGTTCTTGAAGTCTTTGATTTAGATGAATGCCAACTGTTAGAAGGTAAGACCGACGGTAGAAGAGCTGTTATTATGTAGTCCGAAGAATCTAAAATATCAGTGAAATATATTTTTAATTGTAATCAATAATTCAAGCACAGCAATAATATATAAAATTACCAATAGATTCCGCCGACTGAACTTGTTCCAATAAATGTTTACATGTAGCATTGTGAATATTTTCCTTATAGTATATAACTATTTTCTTTTTAAAATTATCCCATTTAGATAATAAAATAGATTCTTTTCCTGGATACGCAATTGTAAAATCAAGCTTGATCTGCAAAACATAATTTAAAAAAAAAACTTCAATGATTTACGTATAAAATAATCTTGTAAATGTTGGATGATTTCAAAAAATGTAATATGGGTAAAGCTGAAGTTAAAAAGCTCAAATAAAACTAAAAATATAACTGAAGAACTAAACATTTGGAAGGCCTGGAATCTTACCAAATCCACTGCACGAGAATCGGTATACTTCGGCCATTCTTGCAAAAATTCGCATGCATTCAAGGTTTGGGATTCTTTACGACGCAATTCATAAGTTTTTGACCACTTATCAAGTACTGCATTCCAATCCGAAACTTCTCTCTTCAAGGCAGTCTTCAATGCATTATGAAGTGTTTCATCAACAGGATCCTGAAATGTGTCTGCTTCACTGCTATTAAGTGATTCCTCTTCTATTCTGCTAAACTTCGCGCATAACCTAAAATCAAACAATTAATAAATACTAATTACACCAAGTTATTATTCAGCATTTATTATGCGTACATACATATGTATACACATATTCAAAGGTTAAGCAGTAAATAGCACAACCACGTTTGTGCATGGTTACATGCTAAATAAATGATCACATTTTGCATTGCCTACACACGCATACATACTCGTATTAATGTACGTATGTTCAATTATAAGTACATATATTTTTAGGAATTTATAAAAAAATGAATTATTTGAAGACTTATAATGTGAGTCAATTAAGCATGTACAGCAGTTATTAATTGCCAATATATGTATGTAAATACATAACTATATGCATATGGTCAAGCGCGTTCATTTTTCACAAAAATCTGTACACTATTGAATGACGCGTCGCTTCTTGCACTGAGACAAAAGAGAAATAGCGATTACGCGGAAAGTACAGATTACCGCGAAAAATAGGTTGCTATGCAGTGGCATGCGTATGAAACTGTATATTTTGTTCTTTTTTTCATATGCATCTACGTACACAATATATGCATATATGTATGTATATACATACATATATATGTACCCAAATAACAACTATATCACACATTTGAAGCTTTACATATTTTAACTTCTTTATTTAGTCACAATTACGACGACATTTACGCTATATGCACATACATATGTTTGTATGTAGGCTACCACGTAATATGTTGTATACAAAATTATGTTTCTTGCGGACACGATGCAAGAAACTATAAATGGCAATTTTGTATGTATGTGTGTACGCGTACAAATATATTATACATATGTAAATGTTCATACTTACGCAGATCAATTTATTCCAACACAATCACTATTTTATTATGTTTTTTTTTTCACTATAATTCAATTAATTACTTTGGCACACGTCCGTCTTTGACAAAAATCAACTCACAATTGACCGACGCGCGTCATAAAGAATATCGATACATATCGCTGTGTGTATGCATTATTTGCGAAAAGAACGCAAAAGAAGAAGAAGAATGCGTGCATTCCGTGCAGTAAAGTGTGTGCTTATTAATATTTCATATGGTTTAACATTAAACTGAATATGACACACTTTAATAACAAAATTTTACACTTTGTTTTGAATATTATTTATATTAAAATCACTAATTAAATATGTTTTTAGTAAAATTTACGATGTTTATATTTGATTGGAATATAAAATAGTAGAAATTTAATTTAATATGAAAATATTCATCTGTACTATGCCACTTTTTTATCAGTGCAGTGTTTTAAGTAAGATAGTTGTCTATTTGTGATTAAATCGCAACTTGATTTAAGTATTTCCCAATCAGGATCAATTGGATATACTTACATTTAAAGCAACGCATGTTTCCACATATTTTTCCACCACCGGCGGATCCACGCCTCGCAAAGGAGCATATATTAATTTTGAGCCAATAAAATTTGGATTTTTAGCCATGTAGCGCTCAAGTGTGTCTTTATAGATCTGCACAGTGTCGTTAATCGTCAGCTTTTTTTCACCCAGGCAATAGAGCTCGGGTAGCAGCGATCGCAGCTCCAAGTACTGCACACCATCCTCATAGAACTCCTTTAGAGCCCGATAGTAGTAATCGGCCCAGACAGGCGCATAACACAAAAGCCCGTCTAGCAGTATGAAAATACTCATGAAGTGATTCCAGGCTTGGTTGTTGGACTTGAAGGTCGAATACGGATACATGCTGAATCGACGCAAAAGATATCTTCGCACATTCTCTTCGCCGCGTCGCTCACGAAATTCACTCATCGGCTCCCAAGAACATTCGGCTATAGCTTTCAATGTGGGCTTTTCTTTTGAGAAGCGAAAAGCGATTGCCTTACAGCCCTCATCAGCAGTGCATATCCACAGGTTCTCACGATAAGTCAACCTGATTAAGTACTCCGTGCTGCAAATAGCGGTATCATGGGCATGTAACACTCCACCCTTCGGCATGGTTCTGAGAGCTTTGAATAAAGGGGATTTATTTACTTCTGAAAGCAACTGAAATATATGATAGCCCGGCGAGTGAGTTGAGGGATCGAGAATTCCCGTTTTATACTCGGCCTTTTTAAGCTCAACGATATACTTGTTGGCCAACTGCTCCTCCGGCGTCAAAGCAGTGGTAGCGCCCATAGTCATGACGCGCTGCGACTCCAACATTATCTGCCGGAGACGCTTATAAGCCTCTGCTGTGGTATCACGTAGTCTATGGGTGAAGGAAAGAACCTGATGGGGTTTTGCTAGTGGTCCAGCAGTCTTGTCCGACAAAAAGCGCACCGATTTCGCCGCCACGTTGGCTAGCGCCAATGCATTATGCCTCGTTGCCGGCATTTTAAAAGCTTTGTGACAACAAATTTTGATTTGCTGGACAAACAAAGCGTCAAATTTAGCTCATGTTGTCCAAGAAAAAGAAATAATTTTTTGTATATGCTTGGTTTTGAAATGTGTCAAAGCACATATTTCAGAAAAGTTCATTTCTCTTGAGAGAGTTCCAAAGTATTATATATAGCCCAGTTATTCATCATCATTCACCATCAAGCCGATGGTTAAACATATCTTGTATTTCCAATAAGAAATTGTACAAGTATTAACGATGTTTAACCAAATTCAACCAATTATTGTTTAAAAGTTGATTAATTAAAGTATTTTCATTATACTAAGAGTCGGAGTGGAGAGTGGATTTCGGAAATAGCTGACCCTGCATTTGAGGTTTTGAGTATGTATTTATGTATATGAGGTTATTCAATTTTTGTTATGCTATGAAAAAAAAAAAAAAAGAATTGTGAATCAAGACTTAAAGCGTTAGGGAGCTAAATCTTGTACATTATTGTTACCTTGAATATGTTATATATCTTGACTTTTTGGTAATTCAACAATAATTTTCAGATGTTGCGAAAACGCCTAAATAATATTGACAGTAATCTAGTTTAAAAAGCCCTAAATGGAAAATAAACCATTTTGTAATACATACAAAATTATATTATTATCCAATTACTAGCTATCTAGTTCTCTATAAAAAATACCTGGCTACTAATATCAAATAATACTAATATCCATGTAAATAGAAGTAGTTTAAAATGGTTTGGAGGCCGATTATCGACCTCGTTTTATGCATACTTCGATGCGATATATCAAACTATATGAAAGTCTCAAAAAAGTATGCAACACATTAGTCACAGGCGCACGACCCGCACAAATGTCGGCTACAATTTCCGCAACACCACAAAATGGTGGCGCTCGCATTTCCGCTTTAACACACATTCACACACATGTCGTCCATTTCAATGTTTACGCGTTAGCCATACACAACACATACGCACAGAACTACGGTGTGTAGTGCTCGTCTTTTATTAGTAATTTATATGCTTCGCGGTCGCCACTACACACGTTGTATTTTTTTATGTGCGCGCACCCTCAACAACACATTAAATGTGCAGGACATCAAATTGATGAGGCTGTCGCCGCCTGCCGCCTGCCGGCAACCGCCGGCCGACTGCATCATTATGCCCGAACGCTCTTTAACACGTTCATCAATTTTATGGGCTCATACATATTTAGGAGCACCGGCTGCATTTGCTATAAAACGCTCGTCATTGCTGGGCCAAATCAAAATCGAAACGCAAGCCCGTAAAATTGAAACATTACAGTGCCGTCCAAAAACTCGCTCTGTGCAGCTCTTGGTCAGCACTAATCAGAAGCAGGCACATAGCGCATTCTCATTAAACGTTATGGACATGCGAGGTCTGCTTAACAACTACCAAAAAGAAAGATTTTCTGGTGATAGTAATGTGAATTGAAAGGATGAAATAGGCAACTTTTTGTTGCTCAGAGGTTTTCCAATCTGGGCTCTAGAAAGTGAATTCACTTTTCGGAATATGTTATACAATTTTATTGGTATTTTGCTAATTGATAATTGACCAAAAAGGCGGAATGAAAACGAATTCATCTGCACTTATAGCGCATGATAAGCATGCGTTGAAAATTAAAGAGGGAAAAATCATTTTCATTATTTTTCCTAATTCCTAATACATTTTAAATATAGTTTGTAGTTTCTGGGTTTTATCAGCTGATTTTGGTTTTAGTTTTTTGGATAGGAGTTGAGATACCAAAAAAATGCGAATACCATTTGAAGGAGCATCAAAATAGATAATAAACCACAACACTTTCCTTGCAATATTTACAGTTATTTTAAAATATTGTTTTCTGCATGGTGCATATTTTCTCATTCAGTTTTTGTCTGGCGATAATTTAGTCTGTCTAAATATTATTAAATACTTTTTTCTTGAAAGTAAAAAACTTTTTACTTTTATTTAAACTCATTAAGAATACTTGATTTGTGGGTTTCTATTTCACTTAAAAATGAAATGTGATTGGACCCGTTTCCTACCAATTGATATTTCGTTGCCTTTCAATTTTGACCAAGCTAAAGGGGTATTATATCATTGGGTATGATTTTTAAAATGGTCTCCATTTTACGCTCATATAAAGCATATTAAACGCATTTCTGAACTAGAAAATCTCTTATCTATAAGTACGTGTTGTCTAATCTTTACGTCCGCCTAGATTATCACAGAAAAGTCGAGTTCTATAAAAAATGATGGGATTTTTGATGATTCATCAGAAGAGAACTCTCAGCTCCCACCTCGGCTATAAACTTTTCAGTGCATGGCCAACAAATTTATGTGGTCGCTTACCAGTGGAAATGGCTACATGCGGTTGGTTGCATAACTCATTACGCTAAGCCTTCAAATCTACGAGCAGCCTTACATTGAAATCAGCAGTATCAGCACAAGTCGTTTATTTAACTTGAACTATGCATTCGTTTGGCTCTTTAAAGGAAGCTTTTCCTGCAGTTCTGTGTTCAAATATGTATTTTCGGTTACATCATTATTAGGATACAGAGCTTAAGTTAACGTCATCATATTGTAACTAAACATTAATCAATAACAATTATCTTACGAGTGGCATACGAAATGAAATGAATTGGATGCGATTATGATTGACACGACGCTAAGTGCGTAACTGATGGATGGCTGAACTGAACTGAGCTGAGCAGAGCTGAGCCGGAGAGTGTATGATGCATCAGCATAATTCAGTTAATTATCGTAGATTGGCGCGCAGCAAATTGGAGCACCAAATTCGTTGGTTGCATTAGTTCCGGTTGGACATCAGACTAGCGGAGCAGGCATCTTGTGACCAGCAGCGCTACCACCACCCGTGCTAGTCAAGCGAGCTTTAAACTCGGCGCTGCCGACCTCTGTGTTCCCGTGATGACGTATTCAATGAAGGCATCCCACTTTGGTTGCCACTTGCTCAGCGCATCGTACTGCTGGTCCACAGTGAGCGAACTGTATCGTATGGAATTGAGCGCCAGTTTCTTTAGCAACCGCAAATCGGAATGTGCCGATGCAATGCCAAGGAATGCTATATAGAAGTCGTGCGACAATGGCGTTGCCTTCCAAAAGGAGGGATCATCGGATGAGATTACAACGGGATAGCCATCGGCAAAGAAATGTGAGCACGGATGATTACGGAAATCGGTGACCAGCTGCAACACCTGATTTGAAATCGGATTCACCTCAATAGCCACGTTGAGCTTCTTCAGCATTTCCAGCACAAACGGATGCTTGACCAGCGCAAAGCCATGTCCAATACGTTTGGTGCCCAACAGCACGGCGTCGATAAGATTCTCATCGACGGAGGAACCGTACCAGTTCGTTTCACCAGCATGGAAGTAGAAATCAATGCTTTCGGGCACTGCCAGCAGCTCACTGATAAACTCCTTGAGCGGCCGACCCAGCTCCTCTTGGCCTACCAGATCGAAACCAGCCACAAAGTCTGGGTACAACTCCTGCAAAGCGAAAGCAAGATTGTAAACTTAACAATGAACTTAAAAGGCAGAAAAGGCAGGTACTTACCGTTATAGTAAGCAGAGTTTTAATATAGTCTGAGACAACACTTCCATTGGTATTACGCAAAGGAGCGTAAATCATCCGAGAGCCTATGAAATCAGAATGCGCGTCCTTAAACTTCTTCAGAGTTTCTACATAAATTCGCACGGTATCCACTTCGGTGTATTGTGTGTCCTCCAAATCATACAGCTACATAATAAATATCGAAAGAATACGCATTGTTGCTGATATAACTCGCGATAATCGTCATTGTTCTTACTCACCACCGGCAACGTTGTTCTAAACTCTACATATTGTACATTATCAGCAAGGAACTCTTCCAAGGCGTTGTAATAATAATCAGCCCATACAGGCGCATAGAATAATAGTCCATTGACGAGAGAAAAAATTGTCATAAATTGTTGCCAGGCTGCATTATTATCATCGAATTTTGTGGTGGGGAAAAGGGTAAGACGCTCAGCCAGATATTCGTCCACTGCATTGCCGCCATATTTCGTACGCACATCCGACATTAGACTCCATGTGCAGTCGCTATCCGAAGACTGAGCTGGCTGGTTTTTGGAAAATACCAGCGATTCCGCCTCAAGACCCCCGACATTCTGGCACACCCACAAGTTATCACGATAGGTGAGCTTGATGAGGTACTCTGTACTTCCTATAGCCGTATCATGTGCATGCAGAACCGCCCCCTTGGGCATTGCTGACATATAGCGGAAGAGATCGGTGGCCTTGATGTTCTCGAGCACCTTGAAAAAATGCTGCGATGGCTTGAACAGATGGGGCGTTATCAGACCCTCGTTATATTCCTGCATTTTGGTGGCCATTATGATTTGGTTAGCTTGCAGTTCACGTTCGTTCAACTGTAGATCTGAGCCCAGGGCTTTGGATTCCTCATATCGAAAGAACATGTTACGCAGCGACGCGTAAGCCTCCGGGGATGGCCGGCTCTGGGTAACAACGGGTTCGACCACATATGAAGGACCATATGATTTGATCAACTCTGCCATAACCGACTGATTGGGACGCGGGCGTGCAGCTAGCGAGGGTCTCGGGGAGAGCACCATGCAGAGACAAATCGCAAAAAGTACGATAAGATTTCGACGGTCCAACATTTCTTTTTTTTTTTTTGTGCAATTCACGTGCTGGCCGGGGTTTTTGTTTTATTCAAAAGACGTCTTTCCACTTGCGGTTTGGATGTGTTCGTGTTAATGTCCGTAGAACAACTAAGCCTTTAACGTTCAATGGCGGCTAATTTTGATCATTCGCTTATCTGTAATAATTTTCAATGTAGATTGTGTATTGAACTATGGCACTATCTTGGTAGACTCTCTGCCATGTGCGACGACAACAGGTAGCTAAAGCCAGCCAATACGGCTGCTATCTTGATTGCCTGCCAATGGCATATCATTTCCTGCAAAAATTTACTAACCAGTCAGCCAGCACACGCCTCTTGAGTTAGTTGGCAACCAGTGCTAATCTCTAATCATTGCTAATCATTCAGGCATCTTGATTTATGATTACCAAAGATTAGATTGCAGTTGCGAAATAAATACGAAGATACTTATATTATTTAAAGCGCGCAAATAAAGATTATTGCCCCTTGCAAATACCATTATGATGTATGTATAAGTACTCATATAGTGTGTCGAAAATCTGTTACTGAAATTTAATCAATTTGAAAAATTTGTCACCAGTTCTTGAATGGCGGCCTAAAAATGGATAATTGCTCAAATAAATTCCAAAAATATGATAAGGCTTCATACACGTATGCTTAAAACGCTAATGCATTCTTCGAATATATTATTAAAATCTACTGATAAAACTTGAAGAGAAAGTTATTCATCAGTTTGTTCCCTTTATACTTGTATATGTATTTTCACACAATATTAATTAAGATTAATATCAACGGAGGAATTTTTCGGTATCTATGAATTAATTTTCTTTGTTTTGAAATAATACATAAATACATCAAAATTGTGATAACAGAACTGAGAATAAAAAAATATTTTAATAAATTTTGTATAACCAAAGGGTAGATATGTATATTCACCTTAAACTGGTATACCCTTATAAATTGCAACATTTGGAGTCTCTACCTCTTATAGTGCCTGAGATCTAGGTGTTCATACGAACAGACGGATAGATGTACAGACATTGCTAAGCTTTGGGGGGTCTTCCACGCCTCCTTCTATCTGTTATTTTTTGTATCTTTGCACCTTTTAAGTACAGGGTATAAATAGGCGGCTTATGCTCTTTTCTCAATCACATCAAAGCTTTACAGAAATCTTTGTAACTGAACAGATTACTGATCCAATGTTTAGAGTACAGAAAATAAGCCATCGCCTTTTAAAATAATTTCTATTATTTTGAGTTCAATCATAATTGATGCCTGTGCTAGCTTTTTTCGCAAATGGGGCCAATACAAAAACTAAAAACCTCCCTTTCCCATACATGAATCTCAATATTATTCCATTTTCGAAAATATAATTAATTGCAACAGTTTAGTTTATCCGAAAACTTGAAAATATAATTTTAATAATACTGCAAATTTGGGCACACTAGATTTGGGAAAAATGTTGCACACTACTCTAAAATGTTGATTGCATAACGAAATAAATTCTCTCCACCTAATTGTTGTTCACAAAGGTTTCCAACCACCTGTTCCAGCTGGTGCGCCATTTTAGTAAGGCTTCGCGTCTTTCATCCACATTCAAGGCACTATACATAAATGAATTCATGGCCAGTTGCTTCAAAAGTCGTAAATTTCCCTGTTCAGAGGCAATACCAACAAATGCAACATAGAAATCATCGGTGAGAGGCGCCGCATTCCAAAAATACGGGTAATCCGAGCCGACGACAATGGGAAACCCAGCAGCTATCAGATAGGCCGCCGGATGCATACGAAAATCGTTCATGTACTGCAAATAGTGATTGGATAGAGGACACACCTCTACAGCAATATCCAATAGACGCAGGACATGCAGCACTTCTGGATGTTGGGGCACATTCATGGCATTTCCCAAACGCTTGCTGCCCAGGAGAAGGGCATCAATGAGGTTATCATCGCTGCCTGTCGAGTTCAAGCACCTCGAATCCCCGGCATGAAAGTAAAAGTCGATTTCTTTGTCGATGTGCAAGAGCTGCAATTGCTTGCCCAGAGGCGGCAACTGACACTCGTTACCAAAACTCAACAAATCGAAGCCAACAAACAGATTAGGATAGTGTTTCTATGAGAAGAGGAGGAATATTCAGGTGCTTTAAGTTCAGAACAAACATCTACAAGTAGTATACCTTCAGCAGACGAGCATTTTCAATATACGTATCCATGCGGCTATCTTTATAGTCCCGAATCGGAGCGTAAATCAACTTAATTCCGACAAAGTCACTATAGCTATAGCGAAATATGTTGGCGGTTGTAACGAGCGATTGAGCCGTGTCCAAGATCGTATAATTGGTGCCTTTTAAGTCGTACATCTGGGGGCAGTGCATTAGTTAGAATAACAAAACCACGAATAGTCTACTACTAAATCGAACAGGATCATGTTTTGGGAAAATGTGCCACTTTGTGGTCGAAAAAACTATTCATTATTTACAAATGAATACCGAAGAGTTTTTAATGAACCAACAAAAATTCAAATAAAGAAACGATTAAAGAACCCCATTTTCCTTATAACATTGAACGAGTGATCCGTAATCAAAGGTCAACAAGAAGGAACTAGTAATCAGTGATATGTGATAGCAGTGATAACAATTATCAATGATCAGCAAAAATGATCAAATCATTACTCACAACCGGCAATGACGAGCGCAGTTCCACATAGTTCACGCCATCCGCATAGAGATCCTCCATCATGCGAAACAAAAAATTTGGCCAATGTTGTCGAAAGGTAATGAGCCCATGTATTAGGCGATGAGCTCGTTGCATGTGCTTTGCCAAATCCTCCGAGCTCATATAGTTTTGCGAGTCTAGGGAGAGACTTGCGCGCAGTTTATCCAAATATTCATTGCTATGCTGGTTAGCCCAAAAGTTGCTCATCAGCTGCCAGTTGCATTTATAATCACCACTGGGCGGAATATTGGGGAAAGTGTTTGAAAAACGGAAGTCCTCGAATTCACCGCTGATGGCCACACAGGCCCACAGATCCCTGCGATAAGTGAGCTCGATCAACAGCTCGGTCTTGAACATGCCGGCATCATGAACATGAAGCAATCCGCCCTTTGGCATACTGCGCAACAATCCGTACAAATCCGTTTCACTGATGTTATACTTGCTCAGAAAATGCGGACGTGGCTGATAGTCGCTCCAAATGTTATGCAGCTCATTGTCCACCGTCTTGATAGCCAATAGTTGTTCATTGGCCAGCTCCTCGCGCGGCGTAAGACGTAATTTGCCACCAACTTGCATCCGTCGCTCATTTCCCACAAAACGGGCACGCGTACGCTCAAAGCGCTGCTCCGGCGTCAATCTATAGTACTCGGCATTAAGGCAAAGAGCCCACAAGAGGGCCAACAACATCATGAAGAGCAACACCACGACGCTTATGTTGGCACAAGTATTTCTCCACTTCGAAGTATTTGGCTGCATGGGTGCCTCGATTCGCAAGGTGCGTGGCAGCTGCAACGGATAGTTGGCGATCGGTGACTGGGACGAGGCACACCGCCAAGGCTCCTCCCATTTTGATTTGGTGTCCATAACCGAAATTTTGTTTTTTTTTTTGTACTTTTTTGTATAGAACTTTTCTCTGGAAGTTTTTAAACTATTTTCTCTACGCAAGCCTGAAACTGTTACAAATTATTCACATCTGACTCATAACTCATTCGTTACTATCTATGTATATACTATATGTATAGTACTTGTCGAAGTGCTAATTCAAAACTTCTTGCTCGTACGTTTGGTTTATGGCCGCAAGCGGCGCAACACATATATTAAATGGTATTATTTCATTTGTTTTATTCTGCTACGAAATAAAATTTAGCTCAAATTTTAAGTGTCTTCCACTTAAAAACCATTATCGCCAGCCGAAGGTTATCAGGGAGCGGCACAAGCTCTGCTTTTCTCTGTTTTCTCTTCTCTTTTGTACTCTGAGTGCATTTTTTATATAAATAGCCAATCGGCTCGGGCTCTGATAAAACGGCAATCGCTGGAAACAAAGCAACTGACGCACGCCGAGCGCCCTTTGAGCTGGACGAGCATTCGGCGTTGCAGGGGGTTGCTTTTATTTTTGTCAGAGCTACGCCGGCGACGACGACGTTGCCGACACCACCAATATTGGGCGCTGTACTATATAAGCAGCTACAACCACCGCACAGTGGTTTCATTCATTGTCTCACTGTATAATGACTAATTCGTTGTTTCAATGTATGGATTTACGTATGTCAAATAAATGCGGGATGGTGATTTGCTTTATGTGTATAGAACACTACATGAAATGTCTGTCTGTCCGTCTGTATGATCACCTAGATCTCAGAGACTATAAAAGCTAGAGACACAAAATATTGCACAAAGATGCCTTATGTGTGTACGCTATACGAGTTTGTTTTATTTTTTGATTTCCCCCCCAACTTCCTCACTATGGGGGTTTTTTCGTAACGCCATTCGTATAATCGCCTATATCTCGAAGACTATAAGACCTCGGGACATCAAATTTGAAGTCCACGATGCCTTATGTGGATACGCACAAAATGTGTTTTTTTGGAATTCCCCTGCCCCGCAAATTAGTGATTACGTGTCCGTATGCCAAGTTTCTTATTCTTCTAAACATATGTGCAGAGTATTTCAAAGTCGGGACACCCGACTTTAGCTTCTCTACTGGTTTTGTTAGTTATTTATTATGAACTGCAGTCCTTTTTTTGGAAGCAATTGAGTTGAGATTTCAATATTTGGGTATTGGAAAGGCGTTTCCCAATATTTATTTAGATTTCAGTTCGACTGACTATATGATAGACAACTGGGGGCTTTTAAATTACTTAACCGATTCAATTCTGTCGATTACGTCAATGGACTTTAAAACGATTTAACGCATTAACATTAAAAACCAGTCAAAAGCGTCTGAAATGTAGCTGATACTTATTAGATTAACAGTATACACATAATTCTGTTTTTACACGGTAGCTTGGTTCCAGAAAAAGTCGTGTAAAAAAACCGTGTAAGAAAAGATATTGATTATATGTTATTTTAAATTGTGCTTAATGGAAAAATGTCGGGTAACCATATATACAATTTTTAATTTTCGAACCGTGTTAAATCTAAACCGTGTAAAAAAAAGGCAGTGTTAAAACAGAATTAGATATGTAACAAGTTCGGCGAAAACTTAAGACGGGGGGCAATTGGGTTAACAGAGATATCGCCTAAGGGCGACTTCCTTTCGGAGTTAAAATATGTATATTGGGAAAGCAATTGGCACACAATTTTCACAACTGACTCAATAAATTTCTCTACTTTAAAGCACACATACATACAAAATTGTTTCTGTAAATCACTTTTTAATGGGTTTTAACACAGTGCTATGAGATAATTAAAATATCTGCAATATTAAGAATGTTGTTTATATTCCAATTCAATAAATTTTATTCGCAAACTATTATTGCCCATACCACTGTGCTCAAGCAACATGAGGCGGCGTTGGTGGTGGTGTTTCGTATTGATATTGTTGTTGTTGTTGTGGCTTTTGTCGCTGGTGGTGCCCGTGTTGTATGCAGCCCAGCTGCGATTACATGGAGCATTCATACAGAGAGCAGCTGACTGCTGCACTGATTCGAAACAAGGGTTCGGATTGCGCCGCAGTTGATTGCGCTGAGTCATCGGGCACGGACACAAACAGCAAACAGCAAACGTATCCTAGACTGACAAGGGCCAGCCAGGAGGAGCCGCAGGAGCAGAAGGAGGGACAGGAGTGCAAAATGCGCGGTAAATATGACAACCTTTCCTCGGCAACTAAAACTGCAACACACACACATAACTGTCAAACAGCAGAGAATCCAGAGGAGAAGAAGGCGCTTACAATGCTCAATGATGATTGCCTGCTGTTGATATGCGACCAACTTACCATCAAGGACCAATTTGCGATGCTGCAGCTGAACGAGCACTTCAGAGCGCTTGTACTGCAAATTTGGCGCAGGAAGTATGCCAATGAATTTGACTGGAGCCAGGAGCGGCAATTAAAACTGCTGAACACTGATGAGCTGGGTGAACTGCTCGGCTATATTGGCAGCATGACACGAGCCCTGCTTAACCTCAGCGCCAGCGGCTTTCAGCGGATGCAGCGCCAGGGAAAGCGCATGCCAAACTTGCGTAGATTGAGCTTGAACTGCAATCTGGGCAACGATGATAAGATGGAGATGGAGGCGACAAGAATATTGCTGTCGAATCTATCAGACATTTGCATGAACGTTGTGGACTTGCGGTTGCGGCCAACAAACGGATGTGGAGGTGCCCTGACGCCTCCAGTACTGTCAATGCTCTTTACCCAACTGCACTTAAGCGTATTTGAACTGCTGCCAGGCGATGTCAGAGGGAGTGTGGGTGGGTGCAACTGCTGGCAAACGGATGCGTTCGCTTGGAGGGCCATCAAATATTGCCAAACACTGCAATCGCTGAAACTGCCAGCGTGCGCGGTTCGAGCGGCAGCCATGGATATTGCAACACTGCCAGAGCTGCAACAATTGACTGTCTTGTATGACTCCTGCAGCTTCCACTCATCGCCGTTGGCAGCTGACAGTGATGATGATGATGACAAAGTAAATGGTATGGCAGCTGGTATTGCTGCCAAAACTACAGGGGCTCTGCTCGCAGCTCTTCTGGCTCATGGGAGTGGTGGGCGTGGCGGTGGCGGTGGCACCTGTAAAATAGTGGCTCTACATTTGCAGTGTCAGCTTGACGTTGGATTGTTGCAGCTGTTGCTGAGGGAACAGGGGCCGGGGCAGCAGTTGTGTCGCCTGCATAAATTCGCCTGGCATGCGTGGCTTAGCGTTCACTATGATGCGCGCGATGGCAGCATCAAGTGGCTGCCTCAGCAGCCGCAAGTGGCGCGTGCCGTGTTACAGTTTGTTGCCAGCCAAGCTGCAAGTTTACAGGAATTGGATTTCACGCGCAATGTACATGCAACACCCGCATTTCTGAAGGCTTTGTCTACCCATTTGGAGCCGGAAAGGCGCAACGTGCAGGTGTGGCATGAGGGTTGCCGCAAGCTGGCAACGCAGGAACTCAACAGCACACCGTATATGCGATTCGAATTTAAGCGGCCTTAAAATCGGAATTTTATAGTCTACACCAAGGTATATGAAAGATCTAAGAATTTGGAGCTAACTTTAAACTCTGTAAGTGTTTATAATGTAAGAGTTCGTTTTTTTAATTGACAATATCAAATGTAAAGTAAAACTAATACAATTACACATAAAAAATAAATAATTAAAACATGTTATTGATCTCACAGTAATATGCTGGATATCTATAAACAAAAGAGCTTTTTATATCATCAGCTGACAGAATGCTGAACTGTTTTAAGGGGTTGGTTTTTAATCAGCTTTATAGACCCTTAAGTCTTTTAACGATTATATTTTAATTTTATAAAATAATAATTTTAACAAGCATAATATTTCAGCAGTTAACAAATCTTTTAGAAAAATCTATTGCATTTTTGTTGTTGTTTTGTTAAATTGGGGGTTGACCATTCTCGAGTACAAAAACCTAATCTGTAGATTTAGTAAAATAATAATGACTATTAAGGAGTCCTTTTGTAAAAAGCAGTGTGCGATATTTTCTATAGATTACTTCAGACAACTGACTCTAATATATTTTATTTAAAAAATTTGTGTTATGTTGGTCTGTTTCTCACTAAAATATGACCCATCACAATCCCAAAGTTTGTTGTACATGGCCCGGCCAGAAACAATTCGACTATCCACCCATTACAAAACGATGGTCAAGAAATGTCTGTTTTTTTATACCCTGTACCCGTATGGTAAAAAGGGTATATTAGGTTTGTGCAAAGTATGTAACATGCAGAAGGAAGCATCTCCGACCCCATAAAGTATATATATTCTGAATCAGCATGACGAGAGAAATCGATCTAGACATGTCCGTCCGTCTGTCCGTCCGTCTGGATGAACGCGAGGATCTCAGAAACTATAAAAGCTAGAATAACCAAAGTTGGCATCCAGATTCTCCTAGGTCCGAGTAAGGACGAGTTTATTTTTTTTTTTTTAATTTTCCCCCCCTTCCCTCGCTACAGAATTTCGTCAATAGCGTCCACATTTCAAATGCTACCTCAACCAAACTTTGCACACATAATTTATATATAATTGTCTACTGTTGTTATCCAATTCGGTCAATTCTGAGAAAAGTTATTAGCGAAACAAATTCTCTACAGTAAAACCCCCACAAACTGCAGCAACGAGTTCGCTCTTCTTCTTCCTCTTTTTGCTGCTGCTATGGGCGCATATAACTCAGCGACGGAAGTTTACCTGGGTACAGGGTATTACACTGTCGGGCTTGCTCGACTGTAGCGTTCTCTCTTGTTACTTTCAAAACTTGTGACATCTCTAATTTAATAATAAGTTGATGTTAGGGTCGCTTTTGTAATGTGATTCTCATCAGTGTTAATGAGAGTTATTTTAAATGTCAACTTTTCTTCTTGCGTCAAGTGCTTACACATATCTGTAGTTATTTCTCTAAACTGTCACAAACAAAAGCATTAAATTTTCAAATTTGTATAAAATGTTAATTTAAGTTTGTAAAGGTTAGAGCAAAAGTATTTTGCATTTAACCTTTTCAAACGCTTTCGTTCGCTTTTGGCAATTTGCAAATCTGGAACTCTTATTTAATTATTTTTGAACAACAAAACAAACTGGTAAATCCTCAAAACTGTATACTGAAAAAATAAATTGTATGTAAGTACACTAAGCGATTGCTCAATAGAACCTCACAGAAATGTGCAACCAAAATGTCAGACGCATGTTTCGATAGAAATTCTGTGCTGCTGCCTGATGAGTTGATAGCTGCGGTTGGTAGATTTTTAAACCACCAGGAGGAACAGAGTGCCGCTTCGGCGGCCCAAATCTGTGCCGACTATTTTGATACCGAAGACCAGGAGGAAAACGGCGACAACGACGACGCCCTAGACTGTATCGAAATGGCGGCGCGGCGTGACTCGGCATCACTTGCCAGTCGTGCCACTATGCGCCGCAGCTTACAATCTAATCAACCATCGCATTGCGTACAGAATGCAACACCAATGGTAAGGGAAAAGTATTTCCAAATCCAATAGTATACGAACTGAACTTCTTTAACTCCTCTTATACAACAAGTTTACGCCTTGCTGCAGCATGAACAGCAGCTCAGCTACGGTTAGTATAGAGCGTGAGATGCTTGTAAAAGATTCTTTTAATTATGCTCTCAATATGTCCAAAATATTTATTAGGGCAGTGGCATGCCACCCAACACAGGTAGTCCAATGCAGCAACAACAGCAGCAGCAGAATACAACCCTACAGGGAAATCCGCAGAACTCCAATCGAAGTTTAAACCGATCTCAAAGCGCCCCCTCCACGACTGTCAAACGCGATTGTCAACGCGGTTACGATGCCTTTGTAAGTAAAAGCTTTCAAGTGGCAGTTTATTTTTCTAATACCCCCTTACAGTGTTCCGAGCAACAGAAGCGTCCACAAAATTTTTTTGGCTTGGAAAAGTCTCCTACGTTTCCGGTGAGTGTTCGCAAAGGCATCACACTTGTGCGAGGTAATACTTGCTAGGGCGTTATCGAACCATACAAAAACATGCTCTTGTTTCTAAAATTTGTGATAATTATATGGTCTGCATGATTCGAAAGCTTGCTTACAAATATTGCATCGAAAGAGTGCCACTGAAAGCCTATCTCATAATTTCTTTTATTACAGAACGCACAAAGCCCGCAGCAGCAAGAGCCTTTAGATAAAACACCCGTAAGTTACAAAAAAGAAAAAGATGAAATGTTAATCTATTGAAGTTTTATACTTCCTATTAAACAGTTGTTGCTTTAATTTCAATTTCTATTCGTTTTTTTTATGCCTATGTGTATCACAGTAATTATTATAAGTCACAATTACCTTACGCCTCGCACGGAACAAAAATTACTTTATCCTGTCTTAACTTTCATTTAGTAATAAAATTATGCAAAAAAGACAATAGGCGGAATAGCGCTTATTATATTGTATCCTGTTTTAAGATTTGGTGCTTGACATAACAATCAACACCACGCGTTATCTTATCAATTCTTAAAATAATTAATTAATAAGTATTAATTAATTCAATACTTTAAATAATTTAACACGAATCTATTTCGCTTTTAGAAGTTGCTGTCAATAGAAATTCAAGTCACAACAAATGAAATAGCACATACTTAACTATTCCCTCCTTTTTCTTTTAACTAGTGCACTGACACTTTAACAGGACAGCGGAGTTCCTTTCAAATGTCAGGCAGAGAAATAGAGGCCTGTCGTGATGTAAATACTGACTATAACTGCAGCGATATGGGTATGGGCTACGAGACTTTTCAAGCCCAACAGAGAAAGCAACAGCAACAACAACAACAATGTGGTTTGCAAAACAGGGACGGTACTTTTACAGATTTTGTAAGTTTGAAATATTTTTCCTATATGTAGTAATATTGTATATTTATTAAAATGTAATTATAAAGTCTGGTGACGAAATCGATTGCAATTTCGACGCTGGTTATTATAGAAAAAAAATGCAATTCAAAAAGAAAACAAATCAAAAGGCAATGACGAATTACTCTTTAACTTTTAAATCGCCTCATCGTGGTGATCATAATTGGCGTTTAAGCTTCCTAGTATTCCCATAATATATACACATTTCATACAAAACAAGAAAAGAATGCTGTACACAGAAAAAATTTATTAACAAAATTTAATTAATTAATTAAATGAAATATAAAATATTCCATACATACATTTACATTTACATCTGAATCGTGTCTATGCGTGTTTGTGTACTTGTACATATGTATGTGTGCATTACATAATTATGTCAAAGCAGCAACAAATACAGCTGCGGACACAGCTTGGGCCTGGTTATATGCCTATAACTTTCTTCCTAATCAACCTATCTTAATCACACCACTGCCACGCACAAACTAATATACCCTTTTACCCTTTGGGTACAGGATATAATCAGTGTGGTGTAAAAGAGGTGACGAAACACAGAACCACAAAGCAGTTCGGGCTAACAAGACATATTTTCGGCTTACCCCATCCATTTAAACCTGCTTGTCAGAAAGCGATGACTTTCGTCGCTAAACTTAAACCCCCTTTCCAATAAGATGGTAATACGCTGGCACTTTTTTTGAGTTTTCAGGCGCCTAATCTGAACAGCACAAGGGTAGAGTCTCAGCAAAATCAGGACCCCAGGTGTAGTGCAAGTCCATCCTTTGCCCGACAACCTCCGAATAACGCTCCTTGTGCTAGCGGAACACAGCCAACAATGCAACGTAGCCCCAATCGCCCAAATTTTGGGCCCCAGCCAGGATCCTATGGAAAATCAGAATATGAGCAATCGCCTCAATTCCCGCAGTTCACACAACCATGCTGTAAGGACCATCATCAGTCAGAATATGGACAGCAGTCAGGCTATGGACAGCAATCAGGAGGCTACAGGCAACAGCCTTGCACGCAGCCATGCTGTAAGGATCACATGCAGCCAGACAATGGGCAGCGTGCGACACCACAGTCCTGCACACAACCATGTTGTAGGGATCACAATCAGCAAAGCTATAGAAAGCAAGCACAGTTGGCACCTTGCACACAACCATGCTGTACGGACCATCAACAGTCGGGTAATAGTCATGGACAGGGGAACTTTGGACAGGTGAGAGCTGAGAACGCAATTGTAGGAATTTATAAATGCGATATTGGATCGATCTTAACCTAAGTTTGCCTGTAAGCATTAACACACTTATTGTTTTTGAAATCTCCCAAGTACTCCACAATGGACGAAACCAGCTATATGGAACTGCCATCGCCTCCACGACCATCATGTCTGCGCCAAAATACGCAACAACAAGCTGGCTCATCCAATCAGGTTAGTCCGTTGTCAGTTAAGCGAACGCACAAACCCATTACTAACCGACTGGATTAGGTGCAAGTATCTTTTCGTGACCAACCATCATTGGTGCAGCTCGAGACACCGGGTTGCCAAGAGCCGCAAAATACCACAATGAGTCCACCCCAGCATCGATTGAGAGCCCCGATGAATCAATCAATGTACCAGATGCGTCAACAAACTCCATGCCCGGCGGTACATCAGCAACATATGACGGGTACGAATCAAAGCATCGGGGCAGGAATGAGATGTCAGGGGCCACGCTTTCCACCACCCGCAAACCAAATGGGCATGTATGCGGGTCCACCGAACACGTCAATGAATCAGATGAGCTTGAATCAATCATCGTTTAATTGCCAGCAACAACCTCCAGCAGCGCCACCGATTAGTAGCAGCGCACCTCGGTGTCCAGCACCCATTGACTTGTCGAGCTCTTTAGCCACAATAGCTACACTAAATGTAAGTTAATTATTTATTTGCATGCCCTCTACCCAGACACATAAGAATATTAAAGAACTTTTTGGGTCACTTTTCAACCAGTTTGTCGTAAGATGTAGATAATGAGTTGGCCATAAATAAATACATTCTTTGGCTCATTAAATTGCAATGAAATTTACTTAACATCAGCGTTAAGGCCACTTGAAATTTAATTTAAATTTATCTCAGCTTCTTAAAAATCTATGATGAAACTATGCTGTTGCACTTTTTGCGTCTCAAAAGCTATTCGTACTAATATATATCTAGATTCTTTACCATCAAACATTATCTTTTCACCGCTTTTTCTGCAGCGAGTATAGAAATATGAATATAAATACATTTTAGTAATTAACTTTAAATCGAATAGATTTTCACATACCTTTGCCCTTTACCCCTTTTAAACTAATAGAAAAATTCAAACTACGCTGGCACTTGTCCTACGCCGACTAGTGGAGGTCGTTCCATACCTTTAGTGTTTCCGGATGACATGACGCGTAAGTTAAATTTATGATGAGCACACGAATTGTGAATTGTGAATTAATAGAAAAAGCATTACAGCGGAGGATCGTTTTTTGTTTCGTACTAAGGCGCTATTCTTTGAAACGCTAGTCAAGGACCAATACTGTCCGGGTGTCATACAGGAAACGTTGAATGGACGCGAGGATTTCAACAATTACGCCTTTGAGATTGCCTTTGCAGGTATTGTACCTGACAAGCTAGGCCCCATCGATCCCATAACCATGCTGGAAGCAATCCAACTGCGCATCGACTACGAGCGCTCAGAGATACGAAAAAAATTATCCACTTCTACGACAAGTCGGACCACCTTTATAAATGTTAGTAGTACTTCAAGGGGTTCAAATCGGAACCAACGACGTTCTTCGCGTAATGAGCCGCGTCGGCAGTCATCGATGATTTTAACCCAATCGGGTGCCCAGACCGAGGACATTGACAAACATTTCGGGTCCAAAAACAAGTCTGAGGTCAACTCGGCCATTGCAGCATTTCTCAAAGCCGAAAATGAATACCGCAGCTCAAATGTGGATGCGGTGAGTGTTCGTAAGCCCGATAAATTCAATAAATGACTAATTCTCATTTGTCAACTGCAGCATCAGGACTTTGAGGCTAATGTGAACTCTTTGGAAACCAATCTATTTGGTTCGCCAATAAAGTTTAACGCATACACTGCGACCACAACGCCAATTGATAACAGATAGATGATACGATTGTGCCCATGCAATGCATATAGTTGGATACTGTTAGGAATGATTGGAATTTTGTGTTTTTCAGTGCAAAAATAATAAATAAGTGTTATATTAATGTTAATTGCTTTGTTTCCAATCAGCAATTCTAGCAAGTGCGCACATTGTGAATTCTCAAAAGAAAATCTTTGTTTATTAAATCACAAAAATTACAAACCTAACAGTCATCGTAATAAGAATGAACAAAGGTAAGTATAGTTTTTGCACACTCTGTGCCAAATCCAAACTGATTCGAGTATAGAATAGAAAGTATAAACAAAGGCTATATATAGACTGAAACTTTTAGTTTATTAAGAAAATTAAAATAAAAATATTCAGGGCATAGACTTGTTACGAAAGATCACATGACTTTAAATCGTGTTGTATTAGTTTTGTAGCATTAAAGTCCTATTGATTTAATTTGCCAGTCAGTCAATCAGCGCTTTTGTTGATGCATTTTTTTAGAGTAGTTCGCTTTAAAAATACAAATACATTAAGCAGTTTGTGAGCTTTAATTGATTCACCACATTCTCACAAAAATAAACAAAACAAATTGGAATAAATACAGAAACGTTGCCATTATCAAATCTATTAATTTTAAAAGCGCGCATTAAATCATTTGTGCATTCCTAAATAAACCTAATTAAAAATATCAATAATGTTTTTGGATGGAGCTAATAGACAGCCAACAAATAATGTATTTGTGTGTTGAAAAATTCAATAAATGAAAAGAATTAAAAAAAGTTTTCAATCGCTTGCGTGATTTGTAAGCACATTTAATTTTTTCTGAAATTGTTTATTGAAGCGCTTTTCCTTTTTTTTTGCCAAAAAATAACTTTAACCGGTTATTGTTACGGTTTCATTTTATGAATTCAACCCAAATTGATCCCCTTTTTTGAGTATTTAGATAATAAATAATCATTTGAAGTAAAGATCTCTAAATAAAATGTTATGAGCGAGTGGATAAACTTTCATAGTACGTCTAATCTGGTGATATAGAGTTTATACATGTTTAAAAGCATAACCAAAAATGGATCCTTAAATCATGGGTGGTTTCAACATGTTGAGAAACAATTAAATAAACGAATAGGACCAGCCTTCTAAAAAGAAAGCCTATTTTTAGTATACTTAGTGCAAGAATTTCTTTAGTTATATACTAAACACCAAAATATGATCAAAAAGAGCTCCAAAAAATGACAACGAGTTTTCCTTCAGATTCAAGAATTACTGATTGCTTTTGATAAGCAAACAAAGCCAATAAGGCAATGCCAGCATAATCTGTTATATGCTGCGAGCATAAGAAAGTATTTCCATATCTATAAAGAGCGCACTTTTTTGAAATGAGCACATATGTGATCCATACGGCAATATCTCGCAAAGAAAGATTAGATGGGCATAAGTTTTAAGAGCGGGCGTCAATGAACTCTGCGCAGCATAGCGACACATAACACAGGCCCACATACATGCTTGCCTTAGTATGTATATATGTACTTGTAAAACAAAATAAATAATCAAATACAACTAAACCAAAAGCAAATATACATATGTACATATATGTATGCATGTGCATACAAATACAAATCAGCTGTCTCGGTCGCATCTCTTTTCAATTTGATTTGCCCAACTGTACAAATATAAAGACATTGGCTTTGACTCTTCGCGCAAACCAAACCTTTTACACACTAATTTGCAACTAAAACAATACAAATAAGAGCTGCCGGCAACAAAAATGAGTTTCAAATTAGTTAGTTGACTGAATATCTACTCAATTGACATCTAATTAAAATGCGCATTTTAATTAAATAATATTTTATTTGGTGGTTTTTCTATTGTTTTATTTTTTATTGAAAGTTTTGTCACTTTTAAGTTGTTGTTTAATATGGAATGCAAATTTATTGTAATAATAAAAAAAAAACAACAATAACAACTCTGCTGTCTGCTGCTGACTTCGCATAAAAATTTTTGTTATCGCCTGCCATAAAAAACTAAATGGTTTTTATTATCATATCGAAATATAACTTGCACGCAATTCCTTTTGTGTTTGTTGCAAAATAATATTATTTTGGAAAAAAATTAATTACTCTAGTGTTATACTAAGCATCATTAAAAGCACGCCTATTGCACAAATGGGCTAATGAATTAGTGGCACAGAAATTCTTTGTTGCATTTTCCTTTTGTTAATTGTGATTATAATTTGTTTGTGGCAGAATATTCATACACGACATGCAATCGTTTTATGACATTTATTTCATTATCAGTTTGAGTAAATATGTTTACCGTTGGATGAAATGCGTCAACTGCACCGAATTCGATGAACAAGAAATACTGAAATACTTTTCTTTCAGAGCGCGCAAGTAAGTACCGCACGCCAAAAGCGCGCCCAAGAGACTGACTGACCCGACTCTACGCCGACTGCCATCACCTCGGAGAGGAACCACCACACGATCCGCTTACTTGTTGCCGTTTTTCTAAAGAGCAGCAATCATACATACTTGTACATATGTATATGTACGTGAATGTAGCAGCTGATCGTAAAGTATCAATACGAATGCTAACAAATATAAATAAAGACAGCCCTTTGTATGCAATTATAGAATACTATGTAAATATTATTATGTATCTAACGCAGTTGCATCACACCAGACTAATATTCAAAGAGACTTGTAGCAAAATAAAAGAGAACGAAGGAGAGAGACAAAGAGAGAGAGAGAGAGGGAGAGAGTAAAACAGATGCCGGCCCTCAACGTGTGCTTTCGAATTCGTTTTTGAGAGGCAAGTCTGTTTGTTGTTTTCCCGCCCATAGTACGATCGATCAAGTTTATTTTGACACTGCAATAACGGTAAGGGTGTTAATGCACAATTCTTGATTACACACATTTTAAGTAAGCTTAAAATAAATCATTATAATACAATATTCTAAGAAAGAATGCATGCGATTAGTTTGGGATTGCTCATATCTTGATCGAACATAATGCTCACTGGTACGCCCTCTGCTGCTATGCTGTGCATGATCTAATGGACGTAGTAAAAACGCTCCATTATCATATTAGTTCTTTAAAATAGTGCTCGAAACGAGAGCTAAGTTATCACAATCTCGCTTTTCTCCAATGTTTAATTATTAAATCGTTTTGAATTTTCGATTAATAAAAATATGTAATCGATTTTATTGGCACATATTTCACTCGCCCATGTTAATGTACTTATCTCTAAAGATGTACATTTGCATGTATGTACACCTATGTATATAGGTATGTATATAATATATACCCGTTCATAACAAAGCAATTGTATATGCATTACCATTACTTTGCACTTAAAATCTAAGTACATTTATACGTCAGCTTACAGTCAACAATTTCAAATGTTTTTGTTTCCTACAAATAAAATAGCATCGTTTTCATTTCCTTAACTCTACTAAGCAACCATTCATTTTGTTTTGCGAGCTTCATAAACAAATGTCGATTAATGCGAATATACAAACATAATATGTATTTAATGCGTCAGTTGAAGACCCCACACATCGAAAATTTGAATAAACATTCAAGAAAATTGGAAGAAGAAATAACATAAAGCAAAATAATTTTATTGATGTTACGCAGAATATTTGAGAATTCAGGGGATATTTTTAAATATATCCGTACAAGAACAAATTTGGGAATTATATTTAGTTTTCATTGATCAGAAATAACTATCTGATGCATATTAAATTAAAATTGATTTTTGTTTGTTTTTATTTTTGCGCATACTTTTAGAAATTTAGGTGCAATGGAAATTTTGCACATTGCGTTAAAATTTTCTAAAAGCTCAAATATTATACAAATATGTACATTCCATCCAGAAAAAAGTGTTGAAATATGCAAGGGCAGGAGGACAAAGACAATGTAAAAGTAGCTAGACAAGCAAACATTACAGACACACACACACACACTCGGATAGGACAAACAAGGACGACAAACGGACTCATAAATAAATTCATAAGTGCATTGCATGCAAAATTTTATGGCAAATAATCTTTGCTTTGCATACGTGTATACAAAACCCAGGTCAGAGGCAATGTCTGAACTTACGGTTATGAGTGTGCGAGTGTGCGTATGCGCCAGGATTAGACAGACTTAAATGAATTTATGGCATGTGCTAATCTCAACTCAGGCTTTATGATGGCAATAACAGCAGTCTAGTAAAGACAAAGGCAACTGTATGTATGTACTTGTATGCCCCCAGCTTGGTTTCATACACAACTTTGTTTCATGCATATATGAACATTTCATGCAGGCTCTCTCACTTTAAAAGCTGATTCATTCCATATTTCCTTTTAAATTTCATATAACAAGAAGGGTGATAAATTCATTATTGGAAAATTAATTATAATAATGTGAGTCATAAATACAAATGTTGCAATTCCAATTTTACATTTGCAGCTCGTTGATAAAATGAAACAGTCATTATAAATTTCGAAAATGGCATACATATTAGAGATAGCGGTTATTAAAATAGATAAGTTCTTTGTTCGATCAATGACTGATTGTTACTCTGAGAGAATTTGATTTGATTTGAAAACTTAAGGCACGGAAAGCGAAATTTATTATCTTGATACAAATCAATGAATGCATATAAGTTCTTAATAGGCGTTTAAAATATTATTCGTGTCATTATTAAAATTTTTTAAGATGTCGATTGGAAAAACTGTATCGCACATTTTCATTCCCTCTATTGCATTCCATGAATGTTACATTCCATGATTATATCGATCGATGATATCGATATATGTATATGCTTTTGTGGGTTTTGTTCACACTAACCTAGTACCTTTTATTCCCTTAAAAACGTTGTTCCTAAATACATCCATAGGCTTTCAAATTAAATTAAACAATACTGTTATTAAATCACAATATTCATATATATATATGAGTCATGCTCATACAATGAAAAATAAATATATTAGCGGAAATTCTATGAACAGAAATAATAAGTAATTTTGGGCCTGGCAAGTGTAATATTACTGTAAACAGACTGTAAGTTTGGCTTTTAATTTGATGTGAAGTATCAGCTATTGTCGTAATTCGTTTGAATTAAAAAGTTAACTCATGCTTGTATATTAAGTTATTTCAACTGAAATTGCTTTAAACTTCATTAGCCTATGATCTCACCCATAATAAAGCCCGAAATACGTTAGACAGTTGGTTTTTTACAAATTACTGTAAAATCCAAATTAGGTAAGCTAACACAAAACGCAAAACTACTGACTACTGGTTCTTTTCATCAACAAAATCATTGACGCTTTTTGCATGAATTTGTTTACGCGAGTGAGTATTTGCTGCTGCAAAGTATATTTTTTTTTAGACCAAACACATCGCTGACTGGAACTAATGTTCTTTTTATTGTCTTTTTTATGCGAAATATTTTTTAATAACGAACATATCGTGCATACGCTTGAACGTAAATAGTCTTTAAAGACCACACGTGTTGAAATTTGCGCAACAAGATCAAAAACTACCCATTCAGCCCACTTGCTGGCTGAAATGTGCGTTTATAATTTTGCATTAATAATGAGATTAGTTGTTTGGATGCACATGGCGCTAAATGCAACGCGCGCCCAATCTTCCTTGGGCAAATATTTACGATACTAATTTTAAACGCTATGCGTGTAAACAAAAAGAAAATCATAAACAAAAGCTAAATCCAAATTGTTTTCGCGTACAGTTAGTGATCCGGCACGAAGGGTTAAAGCAGTGAAGCGATGATGAGCTCCATTGATGAGAACAAAATTTTCAATTTGCAAATTTCGTTGCACACAGCATTGCGGTACTGCGGGGCTTAGTGACGGTTAAATGAATGTGTACAAATGTGTTTACACACTCGTATACTTGTACTTGTATGTGTGTGTGTGATGGATGTGGAGTGACTGTGGAATTTGCAGCGCGTGCAACCGCCTATTAACAGCATGAACAACCGCCAAACTGATATGTACATCTATGGCTGTCTAGTTACAGGTCTATTTGTACGGATTACATAGTATGGTTGCCCAAAGTGCATACATTGTCTCCCAACAGGAGGCACAAGTTGATTATGCCTTGTTTTGGCACTTAATGTGATGAAATATGCACAATGCCATTAGAGCCAATGGAGGTGATGACGCCGATAGCACAGTAGTCAGCCACCAATTGGGCTACACACATACATACACGCACACACGTATATGATACTATACAGTGTCATGTACACCACATGATTACACAAACAGATACAGAACGATACGCACACTCCGAACTATACATGCGCAGCATTCGTGAATTATGCAACAGTATTTTAAGTTGATTTTACCCCATTTCATTGGAACTTATAAATATACACATATGTTAAGTTCTCTTCTCTTTTTTTCGTGCTTCCCAATATTTTCAATTTAAATTGCAATTTGGTTTATGTTTGCAATTCTGTTTGTTGCATACTTTTCGAATAGAGTAATAAAATCTCTCAGCTGCAGATGGAAATAAATTGATTTTTGCAGCATTCATGTTGAGGTAATTTTCAACCGAAAAAGTTAGGTGTAAATGACCGTGGCGTGCTTTATTAAATTTAACATTAATTAAACAAAGCTATAGACAATTTAGGTGTGGACTTTGAAGCTTTTAAAAGAATAGGCACATATCCTTTGCCATATGAAAGCGGTGGCAGTTTCAGTGGCAGTTTCAGCAACAGACCTGTTTATTGAGTGTGCAGGATCATCACACACTTTCTTAATAATACAATAAATGCTACTGTGTATAAGAAAAAATACTCTATACAGCCAATCTTTTTATTCGTATGTTAGCATGACTGACTGACTGATTGTCACTGTTCGCTGTGCCAAAATTCGCATTGAAGGAATCATTGTTTACATATGTGGGCAATTGTTTTGTGAACTTCTTAATTGTTTTATGAACATCTCAATTGTTTTGTGAACATTTATTTTTATAAATTTGGAAATTATTGTGTAAACACAATTTTAAGCATAAAATGTTCAAAGTGGGTCGAGAAAGCGTTCCAACACGATACAGAACATCACGGAAAAACAACACATTAAGTAGATCCCAGAAAGGATGGTCAAAATTCGTTAATTGACAATTAGAGATATTGCTGATGGCCTCTCTAATGGATCAGTTAACACAATTTAAAAATAATAGTGTTTTACCTCGTAAAAAAAATCACAAAACAACGTCGCGATTCTTTCCGACTACAATGAAAAATGCAATGCATGGTAACTGCAGATAAGTCTTGGATCTATGCTTATGACACCGAATTAAATGATCATTTGAGCGAATATCGAGCCGTAGGGGAGTCAAAATCTAAATAACCACGCTAGATCGCCCAAAAATCAAGGTTGTGCAGACCAAAATATCTCTTCGACATT